ATGGAGACCATGGGAAAGTAAACGAAAGTTGGGTAGACCAATGAAGAGATGGGCTGACGATATCAAAGCCGCAGCGGGACGAAACTGGACACAGAAAGCACAGGATAGAGATATCTGGAAGAAACTTGAAGACAGCTATCTCCAGCAGTGGAGAAACTACAGTTTATGAAGAAGAAGGAGAAGTCTCGGACACCATTGTTGGTGGTTGGATCGCCAACCTCCAGAGGGCGACGGCGTCCTAAGAAGAAGAACAGCAGATCTCCTAAGGTTTTATTTAATAACAAATCAATAATAATAATAATTTATAATAAGCAAACAATGAACGGTCATTCAGCAATAGCATGCATAAGTAATTGCCTTAAGACTTTGCGTCAACCGGTAATAATCCAAAAAGTTATTCATCGCTCTCAGAAAGAGTCGCAATTCAGGATTCTATAGTTTATACATTTTGGATGGGCCCGTTAGTAGGCTGCCACGGTCTATTTCTTATGATTCACATGAATCCGAACATTCTCACACATTGAGCTTGTATCTTTTGCCGAGTTCCTTTTAATAGATAAATAAAGAAAAACATATACAATTCCTTTCTGTGAATTTAGTTATATGTGAATTTCGGCACAGTAAACAATTACACAATAACAACATGCTTCAAGAATAATAATGTAGTACGGAAAAAGTATGCCATAATTAACAATTAAGGAAAAACATTTGGATGGGTAGTCGTATAGATAGCAATCTTTCAGATTAATGTTAATTGTTCTCGTTACTCTTTGCTTAACGTTGCTGCACGTAATTGAGTTCAGATTGAGAGTTATATACAGATTAGATATCCTGAAGACGGGGAAATTTTTATTTATATCAATTTAATTACGCTAAATTGGTAATCACGCTATTATGTAGCCGGCGAGTGTTTAATGATGGCTTTTTATTAAATGTTGATGGTTTTTTCTCTTTCTACGAGTTCCTAATAGCAATTTTGTGACGCTTTCAATTTATTTTCGTGAAATTATTTGATAATTGCTTCCTTGTTTACTAACATGAATAAAATTTCATTCGTCCTAAAAAAAATTTCCCATAAATTTCACCCTTTTAATATGGGTTTGATAATTAGAAATTATCTTTAAAAAAAAGGACTATTTCTTGCTTTTTTATTATAAAAATTACTAATTGTTACATTTTTCGTCCAATAGTTGAAAAGGTTGAAAAACCAAAAATAAAAAATTTGAGACTAGTTGAGCAAATTAGAAGCAGGAGTTTAGTGTTACGCTACTTTCTTGTCGTTGTCGATGTTCTCTATAGGCAAAATTTAGCTGGCACATGAATATTTCGTTTTGTATCGAGGCAGCAGAATGTTTAAGAAGGTGGCGAGCAAAAATCGGGAGTGGGTGTTAAGCGTTACGCTATTTTTCTACCGTTGTAGATGCTCTCTATTCGCGAAATTTTGCTGGCACGTAAATTTCACGCTTTTGATATGGGCTTGATTATTAGAAATTATATTAAAAAAGCACCTTCTTCTCATAGTTATCTGATATGCTCAGCTCCCGCATGCAAAATAGTTTAACGAAATTTACTTCAAGTGCAACGAAACGATAAATACAGTGTTATCCAATTTATGATTGGGGAAGTAAAGTGAAAAAAAAACACACAAAATATTCAAATATAGACGAAAATTCTGTTGATTCTGTTGTTGTGTTCTGTTGATTCGCATAACAACCGAGCGACAAATGAGCCTCATCGCTGAAGAAAGTTCGGTTCGAAACATTTTCATCAACGGCTTGTTGTTCAATCGCCCAATTTGCATATGTTCTGCTTTGCCTATGGTCTTCAGAAGTCAGGTGGACTTTGTTCGGATGGAGCTTCAAATACAATTGCAAAATTCGCCACAATGAGCCGTAAGACGAGCCCAAATATTGAGAACGTCAGGGAATCGACAAATTCGGGTCTTCCTCCACACTTTGAGCAACAGCAGCGATATTTTCAGTGGAACTAATGTTGCGATGATGCATAAGCCTTACAACATCAGTAACGGATCTAAATGGCAAAGTTTTACTGTCCCAACCTCATCACCCCTTACAATACAGGAGTTTTGTATAATTTTAACAGTTAGTGTTAAGACTCAATTTCTTTCTTGAATGCATATCTCGGTTTCTATAGCGTTCTACACTCCTTCCGATACTCAGCATATATCCAGTCTCCTGGTTGTAAATTTCATTCAAACATTGCTTTATGCTGTTCGCAAATCCATTTTTTTCGGTTGTTCCGTTCTGGCTTTTCTGTCGGTTCTCCCGCTTTAGGACCATACTAATTGCCGTTTATGTATTTCATCGATTATCGGATTTTCTACTTTCATTATCTTTCATATTTCCTCGTTTCTTACTATTTCCAGCGATCTACCACGAGAAATCCATCTCTACGGCTATCAGACGACGTTCTAGATTTTTATTTGTCTGACACATCTCGCAGCCATAGAGCGCTATGCTCTTGAATATGGCACTATTTATTTGATGTTTTCGCTCTCTTAATATTTCTTTAGCCCACAGAATAGAATTCAGATATCGGATGACCTACCTTCTTTTCACAATACAATCTTTTTTTCTTTTTCCGCAAAAAACTAAAATAAAAATAATAAAAATATAAAAGAAAAAACTTACCTCATAATTGATAAACATTATATTCATTTAGGGTTTTGCTGTTTTTGCTCTCCCGAAAGGAAAGTTTTCTTTTCCTCACGAACTAATTAATATTTTAACACTTTATTAATTATAATTTTTATACAACATATTTTAATTGTAAATTGGTGTGCAGTGTAAAATGGTGCTTGTAGTTTGAATGAATTTTAAAATCTGACGATGGCGCTGTTGTCTCGCCGAAACGTAACGAAATAAACGATATAGGAAAAAAAAAATTTTTACATTGTGACTGGAGCTCAGGAAAGAAAATAATTTCACAATTACATGCAGTCAGGAAAATAAATCAAAATGCAAAAAAAACTTAATTCGACCGTTTCGAGTCGCATAAGTTAGCAAAACTTGAGTTTGCAAGACACATAATGTGAAATATACTTAATCTGAAACTAAAACCGTTGTACGCCATCAACACCCCAAATTAGTAATTTTCATACCAGACAACCAAAAATATATTACTTATATAATTATATCGTAGTATTATACAGGGTTGCTCATTAGTGCGTCAAAGTGCGATATCTCAGTAAATATGAAGTTTACCAGAAAATTCGTCCAACGAAAGTTTTTCACGTTTAAAAGGTCCACATTCTAAAATTACTTTCCAATATACAGGGTGCATC